TCAGTTGCCACAATTCTGACCATTTTTCTAGTTTACCTAAATCATTTGCCATTTGGCTTATCCCTCTTGGAACATCAACCCTGTTACATATCTTAGTATCATCAGCAAAAAGACAAACCTTATCATCAAGACCTTCTGCAATATCACTAATAAAAATATTAAAGAAAATGGGTCCAAGTACAGATCCCTGAGGTTCCCCACTGGTGACAAGCCTTTTCTTTGAATATACTCCATTGACTACAACCCTCTGTTGCCAATCACTCAGCCACTGCCTTACCCATTCAACGATATTGGAATCCAAACTTAAAGATTGCAGTTTATTGATAAGCCTTGTATGTGCAACAGTGTCAAAAGCATTACTGAAATGTAGGTAAGCAATGTCTACTGCACCACCCTGATCTATTATTTTCTTTACCCAATCAAAAAAATCAATTAGTTTGGCATGATCTCCCTGAAGTAAACTCATGTTGTCTCTGATCTCGAAATCCATGTGATTTTATATGTTCAACAATCCTATCCTTTAACATGGTTTCCATTACTTTCCCCACTACTGAAGTAAGGCTTACTGGCCTGTAGTTGCCCGACTCCACCCTCCTACCTTTCTTGTGAATAGGCACAACATTCGCTAAGTTCCAATCTTCTAGGACTACTCCTGATAATAATGATTGGTTAAATAAATCTGTTAATGGTTTTGCTAGCAAACCACTAAGAGCTTTTAATAGCTTTGGGTGCACTCCATCAGGTCCCATTGAGTTATTTGTCTTTACTTTTGAAAGTTGAAATCTAACCTTTTCCTCTGTAAACTCACATGTAATAAATTACTCATTTGTCCTTTTTCCGAACTGAGGCCTCTTTCCTTCATTTTCATCTGTAAATACTGAACAAAAATATTAATTGAGGCAGTCAGCTAGACCTTTATCCTCTTCTACATACCTTCCTTCTTTTGTTTTTAATCTAACTAATCCTTGTTTTACTTTCCTTTTCTCATTTATGTATCTAAAAAATGTTTTGTCCCCTCTTTTTACTGACTGTGCTAATTTTTTTTCTTCTGTGTGATTTGGAACCTCTTATAACTTGCTTAGTCTTTTTCTGCCTAATCTTATAGATCTGCCTATCTTCCTCACTCTGTGTTTTTTTTTTTTGTTTTTTTTTACAATTACTAAATGCTAACTTTTAGTTTTTTTACTATTTTGACCACACCTGCGGAATACCACAGTGGTTTCTTGATTTTTTTTTTTGCTTTTACTGACAAGCCTAATGCAATTTTCTGTTGCCTTCAGCAGTGCAACTTTTAAATAATCCCATTTCTCTTGGACTACTTTTAAATTGATGCAGTCTGATAATGACTCCTTTAAACATATTTTAATTTTAGAAAAGTCTGTTTTTCTAAAGTCTAAAACATTTGTGTGGTGTGAGTCAGTCACTGTTCTTATATTAAACCACACTGACTGATGATCACTGGATCCTAAACTTTCACCTACAGTAATATCTGATACCAAATCTCCATTTGTTAACACTAAATCTAGTATGGCCTCCTTACGAGTTGGTTCCTCAACTACTTGTTTTAGAGACAATCCCAGTATGGAGTTTAGAATATGTGTGCTCGTGGCACAATCAGCTATTTAGATTTTTTGTTTTTTCAATTCACATTAGGAAGATTAAAGTCACCCATGATGATAACTTCCCCCTTCATTGTCATTTTAACGATTTCCTTAACGAGTAGATTATCTAACTCTTCTATTTGTCCTTGGGGCCTATAACACCTACACGAGTTACTGTGTGATTACCAAATTCTAACGTAACCCACCTTACTAACTTTTATTAGGCTAGATCTTATGCTATCCTTCACATACAGGGCCACCCCTCCTACTTTCTTGCCGTCCCTGTCTTTTCTATATAAAGAGTACCCTGGTACTGCCCCAGTCATTTTTCTCATTATACCATGTCTCAGTAACAGCGACTAAATCTACAATATCAGTTGACATTATTTCCACAAGTTCATGGATCTTATTCCCTAAACTGCGAGCATTTGTAGACATGACTCTAAGCTTATCATTTTTTAACACACTTGCTACAGGCACCTTCTGTCCTTGTTTTGGGGGCCAATTGGATTAATGTTTTATCACCCTTTTGCGCCCCCCCTCCTAGTTTAAATACATCCTATCAAAACCTCTGAACTGCTCACTGAGAACATTTGTTCCCTTTTGAGAAAGATGCAAACCATCTTTTTTGTACAGCTTATTTCCATTCCAAACAGAGCTACCATGAGAAATGAAGCCAAATCCCTGCTCCCGACAACATTCACCAAGCCACAAGTTAAAGTCCCTAATACGCATCCGCCTGTCGCTCTGAGTGTTATGCACAGGAAGAACTTCAGAGAATGACAGTTTGGAAGCAACCAGCCGTATATCATTGGCAAAAACACAAAAAACTTCCTTTACCTCTGAAACCTCATTGCAAGCCAAGTCATTTGTCCCTAGATGGACAAGTACTTCCAATTCCCCTTCCTGCTTTGCTCGCTTAACAATATTACAAATATGTCTCCTGTGTCTGTGAGCAATAGCTCTGGGAAGACATCTCACAAGACCACTATTGTCCAGCTCCACACCTCTTATGATAGAATCTCCCAACTACAACTGCTTTCTATTAGGCCTCACCTTATTCTGCAAGCCTGTCTCCATAATACCACTATCCTCAGTGCTTCAGTCCTTCTCCACAACACCACTACACTTAATGCCTGAGCCTGTCTCCATAACACCACTACAATTTGTGCCTGAGCCTATTTCCATAACACCATTACACTCTGAAAGTGCTGAAAATTAATTATGTAGAGCATAACTGCCTGCCTATACCATGTGTAAGTCACATTCCTCCATTTTCATTCATATTAATATAAGTTTTTTTATTACAATGTTTTTCCCCAAAAAAATATTAAACACATTCTGCCAATACCTAGAATTCTGTATTAAATATAGGTCCATCCAAACTGGAGACACTTACACTTATATATGCTAATAACCATTTCTAATCAATTTATTTTTCAGATTAGATAGAATATAAACTGTGGTTTTGTTTCAGTCTATTACTACATCAAATGTTCTGAAGTCACCTACTAAGAAATCCATCAGTAATCAAATCTGTGTAGCATAATGGGAGGTGACACAATTATGGCCTCAATTTAATATTTTTGGATAAGCATTTGAAATGGTTTAATATTTTTGGGTAAACTTTTAAAATTAGAATATACATATAAAAATATATCAATATCTAAAAGATTTGAAAAAAAATATTTTTTCAAAATATTAAATCATTTGAACTGTTTATCTAAAAATACAAAATCATTTGAAAAACATATCCAAATATATAAAATCAATGCCTAAGCCTGATACAGGGTTTATTACATAACATATCATGATTAAACCAATACCAGTATACTCTTGCAAATACCAAACATTTTAATTAACTCTTTGTAAGAGTTCTGTTCTTTGATCAACAACATACACTGAACAGGCAGAGGCTGTTTGTAATGATCTGTACACCCTAAGTACATTATGGCAGAGCTTTACAGTACAGCAGGGTTTGATCATTAGGCACCAAATCTTAGCAAATTGCTTAGATTCTGAGATTGATTTCCGGAAGCAATTTTAAAATGGGTTAATGAACATGAAATGAATTGTAATGTGAATCTTCTCCACTAAGAATACCTCTTCTGCTTTCTGACCTAGATGATTAAATAATTGGTAAAAACACGAATGACATAGACGATCGTCTAAGTAACAGAGGTTGCATTAACAAATTGGGAATCAGAGTAAATGAGAAATCAATCTGACTAGACAATATACCAATCAATGTGTCAATTAGTCCATTTGTCAGTTTTATGGATACAATTGTTACATGCAGAAGTTACTATGTAACTTTTTAACAAGCCTACCTGTGGAATAATATGAGTTATTAAAAACAATATATTGTAGATAATTATAATAGTAAAAATGTAGTTATAGTACATACTATTACTCTCAATGGCTGGAAGTACTAGGCTGAAAGCATCAGTTGAACCCTATTTTTACTTTTCACCAGCTGTCATGCAAATCTTCCTGCTCAGTCTCACACTCTGACCCATTAAACTATTATTTAATAGGATATATCTATATCCAAATCATACTTAGTGAGAGTAGCACTGTGTCAGGGGTGAAATAAAAAGGATTTCCCTATCTTCTGCAATCAGTTAGCAAAATAAAGCTGTCACTCTCTAAATCAGTGAATAAAACTTAGTGTAAGTGTCAGTGGCTACGGGCACAGTAGTAACCACCAGTATTACACAATGACCAATTAAACTATTTAAACAAGATATAAAACTATCTCCAACACAAAAACAGTACCACTGGCAGGAGCTAGGGACAGCAGTAACCTAACTAGTCTCATATACTAGGATCAATGATCCTGGCTATCTATTTCCAAATCAAAATTGTGTAAGTGGCACTGTGCCACTGACAGGGGCTAGGCAATAGGCACAGTTGTAAAGCAGTTTCACACCAGGATCAATGCTCTCTAAGTGTCAGTGGGAGAAGCTATTTAGGTACAGCAGTAAACTAAACCTAAAGACCCTAACACAAGGATCAATGACATAGTCTCCATTACCATACAGACACAGCAATGATAAATGCAGGCAGTTCCTGTCTGCTGGTGTGTCTTCCTCAGTAGCTGAAGTGAAAGTGTCAGTGAGAATCCTGCTTACAATTATAGTCATTTTATTTTCCCCATCTAATAATCATTTAATTTGATATGTGAATTATTACATCCTTAGGCAGACCACTTGTCCATCATGGCATACTAAGCAGCTTATTGGTCCTTGCTTAAAGAGACACTGCCCCCCCATCCTAAATGAGTATTTGAACACAAAGATAAAACATTGCACTTACAGCAGCAGTAGCGTAGTATCCAACAGCTCAAAATACATAGTAAAAACAAAGAGAACGTTACCTGCGCTCTGGCCTAAATCCCTATGTACATTTAAACAAAATGGAGGCTCTTTAGTTAATAAAACTAAAGAGCCTCCATTTTGTTTAAATATACATAGGGATTTAGGCCAGAGCGCAGGTAACGTTCTCTTTGATTTTACTAAATGAGTATTTCATAAGGGGAATATCTGAAATACTCACATGTACAAAAGATATATTAAGGCAGCTGAAGGGCCAGGATCTGAAGAATAGTGTCAGAAAGGTGGCAGCAGCTGCGAAAGACTGGTTCAGGTAAGTATAACTCACCTTGTGCATTTGTGATCCCAAAACATCCATACATGTCTGTGCATCGGCTTTTTTACTTTAGCATATGGCTTCAGAGAAACGTAATTTGGCGGAACAGCCAATTTGCTGAAATTTGGCCTATTCTCAATTCGAACAAAACTGAATGCTCAAGTCTAGTATGTTCTAAGACTCATCTTTTTGAACAAAAAATATTTTCTTCCTTTATAGTTTTGCTTTGTCCATAGTCCCTGCTTCCCCAATCACTCAGGTTTGTTAGTAATATACAGTTGTGCTCAAAAGTTTGCATACCCTTGGAGAATTCATAATATAATTACCATTTTAAAGAAAGTGGGCAGGCAAAACATTACTTTTATTTCTGATGGGATTCATATTCAACTGTAGGTTATAACAGAATGGCACAATGATAAAACAAAAATGAAACGATCCCTGTTCAAAAGTCTGCATACCCTTAGTTCTTAAAACTGTGTATTGCCCCCTTTAGCATCAATGGCAGCATGCAGTCTTTTGTAATAGTTGTCGATGAAATCAAGGTCAGGAGACTGTGATGGCCACTCCAGAACCTTCACCTTTTTCTGCTGTAACCATTGGAGGGTCAATTTAGCCTTGATCTTAGGGTCATTGTCATGCTGGAAGGCTCAAGAACGTCCCCTCCGCAGCCTTTGTGCAGAAGAATGCAAATTGTCTGATAACATACTGCATTCATCTTACCATCAATTTTCACAAGATTCAACATTGCCTTTAGAGCTCGCACACCCCTAAAACATCAGTGAGCAAGCACCATGCTTCACAGTGAGGGTGGTATTTTTTTCACTATAGGCTTTGTTGACCCCTCTCCAAACAGAGTGCTTATGGTTATGATCATAAAGCTCTATTTTGGTCTCATTACTACAAATTACAGTGTGCCAAAACCTGTGAGGCATGTAAAGGCTTCTTTCTGGCAACTCAACCATCTCATTTTTGTTCAAGTATTGTCGTATTGTGCTCCTAGAAACAACCACGCCATCTTTTTTCAGAGCAGAGTGTATTTCTCCTGAGGTTACCTGTGGGTATTTCTTTATATACCGAACAATTCATCTGGCAGTTGTGGCTGAAATCTTTCTTAGTCTACCTGACCTTGGCTTGGTATCAATAGATCCCTGAATTTTCCAATTCTTAATAAGTGATTGAACAGTACTGACTGACTGGCATGTTATGGCTTCTTTGTATATCCTTTTCCATCTTTATAAAGTTCCCTTACCTTGTTACACGGGTCTTTTGACAGTTCTTTTATGCTCCCCATGGCTTAGTATCTAGCCTGCTCAGTGCACCCACATGAGAGCTAACAAACTCATTGACTGTTTATACACAGACATTAATTGCAACTTAAAAATTAACTTTTCATTTCCATTCTAACCTCTGTGTGTTACCTTGTGTGTCTGTAACAAGGCTAAACACTCAAAGGTATGTAAACTTTTGATGAGGGCCATTTGGGTGATTTATGTTTTCATTATGATTTAAAAAGGAGGCAAACAACTATGTGATAATAAATGGCTTCATATAATCACTATCCTTCAATAAAAGAAATATTTTGCATGATCAGTTATATTTTCAAAATCAATGCCAAAATGTCACTATGTCACTATTTCTGCCAGGGTATGGAAACTTTTGAGCACAACTCTATTTCAGAAATGCCCAAATTATAGTTACTGATCTCTCCCTCACTTCATACAATTAACATTGTGCTTACTTTCCTTGCACTAAAAGCTTGTTTCTACCACAAGACAATAATAATTTTCACCATCAATGTGATCAACACAAGCATGCACAGCCTTTTGATCATTTTCCAAAGGATACATCTTTCATCAATTAATAAATCATTCATTCTCCTGAAATTTTCAAAAAGAAAATCAGCTGTCTGGGTAAAAGGTACATACAGGAACCTGTTTAATTTAAACTGTAACAGACATTCCAGGCACGTTGGGAATACACATTCTGAAGTAGTACTTTATTTTACATTTTAACCATAATAAATGTTTGAGATAAATCATCATAACCATTTTCATATATTTCAAGAAATATGATTCATTTCATGTATTGCTTCCATCTATAGTGCAGTTTTATTCTGTGTGAGTGCTTTGTGACATATTCTAAAACTCTGTACACTTTGGGACAGATTGAATGATCCTGAAGAGGACACTTCCTTGTCAGGCACTCATAGGGTGAGAGATTCACCTGGGATTGTGTTAAGTATGGGACTATCAGAAGATATGCTAAACGTGCAACTAATACAATTTAGATTGAGGCATAACTCAATTGTGTTCCCTATGGTTTTTGGAAGTGTTGTTGTGTGTGTTTTTCAATGGGGATTTGTGTAATTCCAGCTATTAATCTCAATGTAACATGAATCATCTGGTATAATGTAATCGTGAATGAGATATGTCAATGTCTGTTTTTGTAAAATTAATATGATGGAATCAATATTCATAAATCAAATATACAAAATCTTAAACTCTTTTTCTCGTTTGGATAATTAGTTTAAAATGTTACATTTCCCAGGCAATTCCTAATATTCACAGTTTGGTAAATAACCCTGTTGAAATGTACATGCTCAAAATCACAAAAGTCATCTGAAGATAAAGTAAGTCTGTAAAGAACAGGTCATGCAGGTTACGTTGCAATTAGAAAAAAAAAATATTGTAAAAAGACAATCACTCGAGTGAGCAGTATTTGAAACACCATAGCTTAGAGAGACAAAATAATGGAACATTGTCTTCTGAAGCAATACAATCAAATTTGAAAGATTTGGTTGTCTAAATTTTAACTGATGAGCAAGTACTTCTCTGGACTTTTTAATGTTGCTTAAAGTACCCTCACCCTAAAGCAATGTTAATCAAATATAAACGTTTTTAATGTTCATATTCGGTTTTTGATAAATGGCTTTAATTTGAAGTTGGCAGACTGGCCCATCCTGTTACTGCAAACAACACATAAAGTAAAAAGCCATGTATTTCATGAATTGAGAATCGTTATTTGTTTTATGCACATGGTTTTGAAATGAGATGTCAAACAAGCTCAAATAATTATGCCAGTCAAGTGTCCACATACTTTTGACCATTTAATGAGTATCCAGCAAATAATATTAATAATAACTGCAAAGCGCATCACTGGTGCCACCAAAAGGAGTGCACACCAGGCTGCCTGCCAATCAATCAGGTTGGTCCCGGTGAGGGTGGACCATGTAGGGAGCATGGTTCTAGCACTCTATGCAGGAGCATAGTGCAATCTAATCTGATGATGTGCTAGTGCTTTGCTTTCTTGGCATAGTCTCCTGGTGCAGTAGAAGTGAGTTATACTCGCCTTGCAGGCACAGATTTCTTTGACCTTCAACTCCTGGTGATTTATTCTGTCTGGAACACACGTCAGCCCTGTACTCTTACACATGCCCAAGAGTACAACAGCGATGTCTATAGAGGATCCTGCGAGTTCACGGGAACCTCCATAGATATTGTCTAGCGATAAGAAAGACAATGCCTTATTCGCACAGCCATTGCTAGCAACAGTTGAGGGAACTTGATGGCAGTAGCTCTGCCTCTATTCAAATTAGTAGAGAGAGAGTAGTCTCTATTTTTGTTTTGTTTTTTAAATATATTTTGATTGCGTTGGATGTTTATTGATATTCCAACACAGTCTTTATGAGCTCTTCATAAAGATAACATCTATAATGTTTTCTTGGGTAACAGAGCCCCTTTAAACCAAAGAGAAGAAAGGGTGCAAAGGCTTATAGTATACTTAGTATAACTCGTGTTTTTTACTAAAAATAAACAACACAATTTCACAATTTCAATGGGACTGGATGCCCCCCGACAGACAGAAAAGACAACAACTCTAACATTTGTTATGCTGTCTAAAATGTTGACCTTTGTATCTGTGTTTCTTTATAAGTCTCAGTTATAAAACTAAAAATAAAGCATTTCTTGTGGTTACATGGAAAAATACATAATCAGAACTGTGCCCTTTCTATGAACAAATCAAGGTAATTAGCACAGCCCAGCAAGTTTCATCTTTTCATGTTTATTTTAAAAATCAGCTGAATACGATCAAGGCAGCTATTTGCTTTATTAGCTTTTCTCTGCCAATATCATTACCATCAGAAATCTAATACAGTACTTTTGACCCTTTCATAAATTATATACCTAAGGTGCTTTTCTGGTGATTTAATTTAGTATTAGTGCCATTTTTGTTCCTGTCGTCACAATGGTGATTTTATTATGTTGCCTTGTTAGATGATGATATTGCCACTTTGCCTAAAAAGCTTTTTGAGGGAACACTATGTTAATCTTTTATTATGTTGCCATGTTAAATGTTGATATTGCTATACTGCCTAAATGTACTCTGCAGGGGATGCATTTTTTAATTTGTAGCCCCTAGAGTCAGTTATTAATTTAGACTTCATGACCATCTGAAATACAATTTACTTACCTGCAATCCAGCTCTTGGTGAAAATGTTGTCCAATCAAATGCTTCTCACAAAGAAGCCTTGTGAACTTAATGCATACATGCAGCTGTTGCAGTGATGCGCCAATCAGATGCTTTTCATAGAGCAGCTGTCAGGACCCTATCCTGACAACCAAGGTATTGTTTTATTTTATTGCTGCAATACCTGTTTCTCGCCTCTAGTGGCTTACCTAACCACTAGTCAATCCTCAGTTTCTCTCACCTGCCTCATATGATCTTCCAAGTCTGCTATAAAAGGCCACACCCAACTCTTCACATTGAAGTCAGTGATCTGACAGTGAAGTCAGTGTTCTGACATGGAACTTCTGACCCTGACTCC